AGGCCTTTAAACTGCCTGCTGTCTGACGTCCTTGAAAACTTGCCACGATTGGATCAGACCCTTCCTGATGTGAATAAATTCAAAGCCAGTGGTGGCAGAGACGTCCTGATTGGTCCTTTAGAAGAATGAGCTGTGGTGTCTCCAGAGGAGGAGCAGAGTTTGGGAGCAATTTACAGAAGTATATGAGAAGTTGTAAAGCATTGTTGTCTCATGTTTGTTCTCACAGCCTCTGCAGTGAATCAACATTATTCACATCGAACTTTGAAAACTGTTGGAAGACTCTACGAATTGATCCAGAAGTGATTTTTTGACAAAGCCTCCTGGTCATCACTGTTACAGCAACATCAGTGTTTGACCAGAACAAAGACCCGAGTCCAGAGATATCAGCCGGTTCACATGACTGTCAGAGTTACAACCTAAACACTGTGTGGTCTGTGAGTGCTACCTTGACGATGTTGTCAGGGAAACCAGGTCTGCAGCACTGCAGGATTCTTCGTCGTACTTGGACCAAAGTCTTCCTCAGCAGGAACTGAGACACCAGCTTTGGAGGGTCACATGCTCCCTCCATGTTCCTGAGGCCGAGGACCAGCAGGCTGAAGCAGCACAAACACATCACTGTAATGTGTTCCTCAGCACCAAGAGTGTCCCTTCAGCCTTTAGCCCTCTGATCTCTGAGCAGTTTCTGGGTGATTCTTTAAGCTTCTGTCTCATTTTAACTCACTGTGGTTCATGTTTCTCTGCAGCATAAAGTCCTGCAGCTCTGTGGAAGCAGAGCACGAAGGAGGAGGAGAGAGAACTCAGTGATGTCTTCTGTCAGCAGGACTCAGAACAAAGGAAACTCGAATCAGAATTTATGGCTGATAAATGGTGTCATTTGGGAGATTTTTGATTTCTTTTGAAATCTGCTGGATTTTGAGATTCAGAGGGTTAAAGTTGTAAGAACCAGCCTTCATGTTCTCAGTCTGATGATCTAAAACTCAGTCTCTTCAACCGCTGCAAAGGTTCATTTTTAGCTTTTCGGCCCCCAGCAGGAGGCTTTTCACACAGGACACGGCACCAACGCTGCGCTCTGAAAGCCATTCAGGTATTCCGGCAGCGTGCAGGCCGGTGAGGTCAACGCTATCACGTCTAAACGCCAATAACCAATAGAAACGAGGCATCTCACCTGTACAGAGTGCGAAGTGGGGAAAAGCTGCTACTGCATGTCTGAATCCCCCTTATCACAAGACAGATGGACTAGCAAGGCTAGTGCTAATGATTGCTGCTTAGCACGGGATGTCTTCGCTGTTGAAGTATTTGCAAAAAAATGAAAGCTTTCTGCTTGAGAGGATGGTGAGTCGCCTCACTGGAAGCTTTGAAAACTCTGCCTATTTTGCTCGCTAGTCCGTGACGCCCCACGATCTGAGCTGAACCCCAAACGCATCCTGTGTGAAAGGCCTTCAGCAGGGGTTAGCAGCAAGTGTTTACCAGTCCTCGGCTGCAGTGAACGCCGCCGTCCTGCGGGGGCAGTACAGGTCCGGGTCGAGGCTGACGCAGGGCAGCAGCTCAGGGTAGAGAAAGGTTGGACGGGTAGCGAAGATCCAGGCCAGTTCCGACGGCATGACGGGGAAACATCGCACTGAAACAGAGTCAAAGAGGCGGAGTTACAGTCGGCACCACAACCTGCTGCACCTCCTATGATGCTCTGCTGTAGATTACTCACTGTAACCTCTGGCGTCCGGTAGGCGGAGCTGCGGCCGGTAGCTGATGGGAGCCTGTCGCAGCTCCTCCAGCAGCTGCAGCGCCCCCTGCAGGTTGGAGGCTCTGAAGGCACTACAGAAACCAGGACGTTCTGCAGACCGCATCAGCTCGCCACGCTGCGCCAACAGGTTCAGCTCGAACTGACGGGTCACCACAGAAACATGGAAACAATCAGATCAGAATCAGAACCACAGACACGATCAGTACCTGATTCAATAAATACAAGTAAAGGTGTTACTGTGTATTACCAGGAACTGTCTGCTGGTCTCAGCCTCACTCTGCAGTTTGGACACAGGTGAGGACAGCAGGTGGACCTGAGTCAGCAGCTGGACATGCTGGGAGACAGACAGATGAGAGAGACAGGTGAGAGAGACAGGTAGGTGAGAGAGAGACAGGTGAGAGAGAGACAGGTGAGAGAGACAGGTAGGTGAGAGAGAGACAGGTGAGAGAGAGACAGGTGAGAGAGACAGGTAGGTGAGAGAGAGACAGGTGAGAGAGACAGCAGAATCAAAGGACAGACACTTAGTTTAGCCCTAACCCACTGTCTGTCTCTCACCTGTCAGTCTGTGAGCCTGCTTCATTTATCACCTGGAATGTTTTCCAATGAACAGATGAGTTACCTGGTGGAACTTCTTCCCTGTTTGTACAGGTTATACCTGCTGTGTACAGGTGTGTTCCTGTTCAGGTGTGTACCTGCTGTAGCTGCTGCTGCAGGCGTCTCTTCTGTTGTGCGTTCAGCCTCAGTGTGTGCGGTTCTGTACAGTGTGTGTTACTCGGTGTGTGTGTCTGTCTCCTCCTGATCAAAGCCAGTTGTTGCTTCACAGTATGCCGCCCTGTGATTGGTCCGTCCTCCTGCTCATCTTGAGCTGCCGCTCTGAAGCACAAACACACAAACATGTGTTCATGTGTTGTGTTACATACGTTTGCTGCTGCTGGTGTGTGTTGTGCTACATACGTGTGCTGCTGCTGTGTGTCTGTCTGGACAGCGTGTGATTCCTCCTGTGGCTCCTCCTCCTCCTCGTGGCCTTCATCATCCACCTCCTGTCCAGCCAGGTCCTCTTTGAGCTGAGACACACACAGGTAACACAGGTGTTGGTATACTGATGAACAGGTGAGTAAAAGCATCTATGCAGGTGTGATGAGTGTGTTTACCGTTTCAAAGAGCTCCTCCATCAACTCGTTCACCTCCTTCTCTGCACAAAGAACAAACCAACATCAGCTGTCGGTCATTGATCAGTTAAAGAGGTAATCAAGTTAATCAGCTAATCAAGAGACAGACTGATAACTTTAGCTCTGCTCATCAGTGAAACAGCCGTGTGTGTGTGTGTGTGTGTGTGTGTGTGTGTGTGTGTGTGTGTGTGTGTACTAACTGGTGATGCGGACAGCCTTGTCGTCACGGTAATCCTCCAGATCTGGTTCGTCGTTGTCAGCCAGGAAGTTGTACTCTGGATCATCTTCATCATCACACTCCTCTGACAGAGAGAGAGACAGTTAGGAGGCTACAGAGGCCGAGGGCGAGGATGACTTGGACTCGAGCCGCAAGGGGACCTGCTTGTTATCGAGTTCACACAACATGAACAATGCTCACCTTCGTTGTCCACGTCTGAGCTCATCAGGCCTCTCAGCCAATCAGTCCACTCCCTGTCCTCGTGGGCGGAACTGGAGTCATACATGTCAGGCGTGATGTCAGGAGCACGGAGCTCCGCCTCCAGCTGTCCAAGTGGGACATCCCGGAGAGGACGCTTGGACCGAGTCCGGTACGCCATCAGACCTGCCTCATCCTCTGACTCAGACAGAGGCTGATAGGGAGACTGCTAATCAATATCACTGGTCTACACCCATTTTGGTGTCAACGTTTTTCGGGCTGATTTTGGACAATTGCAATGTGCTGAATCCAAATATTACATGGTTTTGCTCAACGAGGTCAAAATTTTGATTTGATGAAACATGCAATTTACTTGTATTTACCTTTACAAATGTTTACGCTCATCAACTTTTGGATCATTTAGCTCATGAAAAGGATTAGAAAATGAAAATTTTCCTTTAAAATCCCATTTCATATGAGAAATACTAAAATAAATCAATCGCTAATGTCAAAAAATGTAATCGATTTAGTGGTAAAATCGATTTTTCTAAATTGAGTTTGCATAAAAACCTGACCTGATACAGAAAAGTAGATCTCATGTCTGGATTCAGCGTCGCCAAAATGTCCGAAATCAGTTAAAAAGTCCTAGACACCTTCAAAAAAGTATTGTTTTGTAACCCAGTGTAATCAATGGTCAAATCATTCTCTACCACCCATCCATCATCTCTACACCTTCATCCTCACCAGGGTCATGGGGGGCGGAGCCTATCCCAGCTGACTCAGGGTGAAGGCAGGTTCACCTGGACAGGTAACCAGTCTATCACAGGGCTACACTTAGAGACAGACAACCAAGCACACTCACATTCACACCTACGGACAATTTAGAATCACCAATTAACCTCAGCATGTTTCTGGACTGTGGGAGGAAGCCGGAGAACCCGGAGAGAACCCACGCTGCACGGGGAGAACATGGAGACTCTACGCAGAAACGTCCGGGTGCCCCCACCGGGACGCGAACTGGCGACCTTCTAGCTGCGAGCAGTGCTACGAACTGCGCCACCTTGCAGCCCCATTCTCTACCAGCCAGTCCTAAATATCCAATAACTGGTCCTGAAGATCTACCAACCAGTCACGGAGCTCTACAAACTGGTCCTAAAGACAACTCCTGAAGGTTGTTTCGATGGTCTAAAAGCTCACACATGCTTTGTCTCAGTTGTTCTGTTAGCAAAGTGTTGGGAGTTACCTGGTAGGGCTCCATACAAACAGCTAGCTCCTCCTCCACAGCGTGAAGCTTCTCCAGGAATGTGCTGTCAGTCACTGCTCTAGGAGGCGGGGTTTTGGGTGGAGGAGGAGGTCCCATTGAGACAAGCCCCGCCCTCAAATGTCTGGATCGACTCCGAGAAGTCTGAGTGGAGGAACATCACCAGAGTGTCATGTAGGTTTGTTATCGTTGTTCTGTCTGACTGAGGCGGTTGTTGGGTAATAAGCTGCAGTTACCTGCCAGGGGCTGCAGCTCTCCTCCTCCACTCGGTTCAGGCGACTCCCCCTTGGAGATGACGCTGTGCTCTCCATGTCACTCTCCTGGAACGTCTGCAAACACACTGATCAGTAATCAATAATCAGCACGAGAACATTCTGCAGCCAGTCAGAGCAGAGCCTCACATCTTCAGCTGTCTCATCCTCCTCCTCCTCATCTGGATGGTACTCTTCATCAGAGGAGTCTTCTTCAGCCAGAGGGATGTCCACGAACTGAGGAGCCTGAAGACAAACAGCTTCAACTTAAATAATGTCGACCAGCTCAAACAGGAATCACTGGTTTAAATTTAAAAAGATCAAAAATCATTTGAATTCTTCAGTGTGATTGTATTTAAAAAACACAAGACAAATGACATTGGCAGTAAAAATTGTATTTCTGTACAACGTTTTAGTAAATTAATTTATTGAAATCTTTGTTAACACCTTGACTAAATGTTTCTCACAGTTTATTTCTAATTTGTACGGTTGTAAATAAAACAAAATTTAAACTATTAAAAAATATCTTAATAAAATGTAGATTCTTCTTTTGTGCAGCACATTGTTCAACATCTTATTCAATCATTAAAAAAAAAAAAAAAAAAGCTTAGAAATGTTAAAAACTACAACAGACTTGTTTTCAAACTTCCACCCATCCATCATCTCTACACTAAAATAATTTGTTCATCCTTCATCCTCACCAGGGTCATGGGGGGCCGGGGTCTATCCCAGCTGACTCAGGGTGAAGGCAGGTTCATATGTTTTGAAGTGTAAAATACTTTAAAACATTTTGAGATTATTTTAAAAACTGTTAAAACATTACTTTAAGTAAGTGAAATAATTTAAATGTGTGCTGAAGGACAGTCAGGTAAACAACAGGTGGACAGCGTCCTGTTAGACCTCTGACCTTTACCTTGTGGGCATCGCTGGTCTTCTTGATGGGAGAAATGTTCCAGGCTGGAATCACCTGACAGGAAACAGAAGCGTCAGAATCGGTCTGTTGTGACTGAAGATAATAATAAAATAATAATACATTCCTTTTATATAGCACTTAATATAGAAACTCAAAGACGCTTTACACAGCAACAAAGAAAAAAAAAAGATAGAAGATGGGACTGTGAACACACTCACCACTCCTTTCTCCACCACCTCTTTAAACTTGGATCGAGTCATTTTAGGCTCCTGAACAGAAGAAGACCCTCATCAATAAGCACAGGGGAAACACATTACAGAGGTTCTGAGAGCTCCGATTGGACGACAGATACACACTCACAAAGGGAGGGACGGCCTCTGTCTCGTTGATGGCGGCTTTCATCATGGCCACCACGTGCTCGTTGGTGATCACCTCCTGCAGGTCAAAGGTCAAACTTTAACATTCAAAACATCCTGAAGCTTCAGAACATCAAACTCTGAGCTCTGTTTGTTTGGTGCTGCAGCAGAACCAGAGAATCCAGGATTATTTCAGTTAGCCTGATTTACAGTCAGCTTATTTCTGGCTCATGAAGCACATTCAACATAGTTCAGGCTCATCCTGGGAGACTAACCTGGTCCAGATCAGGCTAACTGTCAGGTTGAATGTCCAGCTAACTTAAAGCTAACTGTCAGCATAACTGTCCAGTTAATCCTGACTTGGTGTTTAAGCTCCTGTTACACTGACTGACAGCTAAGTCCAGTTTTTGCAGCTGACTCTGCTCTGCAGCTACATTATTAGATTTAAAATCTATCAGTCCAGAAGTTAAAATTGATCTCATTATTAATTTGATTTAGCTTTTATCTATCGTTGTTTTCCTCGATAACAACATGAATAACAGACAAAAAGTAGCTTCTGCTGTGTGATGAGAAAACCGGTTTCATAAACAGCTTCTATTTATTGCAAAGAACAAAGCATGTTTTTCTTGAACACCACCAGGTGTGTTAACTCACGTGGATGATGTTTCTGACGTTCACAGTGGTCAGGTTGTGTTGTTTGGACTTTGTCTCCAGTGACTGATCCAGCTGTCTGTCAATCTCCACATCCACTCCCGTGTCCTCCTCGTCACTCTCCGAGGCTCCGCCCCTCTCCTCATCATCAGTCACTTTCCGGCTCCACTTCCTCGCTGCCTTTCTCCTCGCCGCCTTCACCTCCACCTGGCTGTCCTCTGAGACGACAGAAGCCAGCTGTCAGTCAGGAGAGACAAACCTGCCTTATGAGGACATTTCTGCTCTCTGAGGACATGTGCATTACCCATAGTGATGACGAGGCTGGAGTCAGTGGCATCCTCCATGACCAGCAGGTATCCTTCCTCTTCCTCCTCCTCCTCGGCTCCAGCCCCTACACAGGCTCGAGGAGGCGGCAGCAGCAAAGCATCATGGGAGCTGCTGCTGGAGTCGGTGGCAGCAGGCTGCAGTTTGGATGGGCTGAGTTTGAGGCGTTTGCGGGCTGGGTTCATCGTGGAGAAACATGACCTCTGAAGTCTGAAACAGTGACATCAATACTGTGATGTAAATATTATCTGATAACATTTACAGGACCAAACAGTGAATTATTGAGCACAACAGAAAGCTTGCAGGAATAACCTGGGAGGTTTCAGGTGACATCTCTCCATTAGTTAGAAATTAGAAATCAATCAGTTACTTAAACTCCAGGCATGTCTGAAGGACATAAAGGTCTGGATGACCTGTAACTTCCTTCATTTAAATTCAGATAAAACTGAGGTTATTGTATTTGGCCCTAAACACCTCAGAAACTCACTATCTGCCCAGATAGTTACTCTAGATGGTATCGCCTTAGCGTCTAGTTCCAT